ATAAAATGATTTTTTTTTAAATCTAGGCTCAGTGACCTTAGCCTTTAAAAATAAAAAGGACATTTTCCTGGCAAACAAAAGTTGAGAATTTGTTACCAACAGACCTGAATCATTAGAAATGTTAAGGGGCATAATGGGTATAATCTAAGCCAGGGAAGATTATGTGTAAAAAGAACATTTTAGTAGCAAATGTTTTGTTATATAGATATTCTTACAGAAATGTTTTTTGGGTTGTTTTTAAATCAATGTTCAAGGAAGTCATCCAGACTAAAGGAAAATGATACTAAATATGAATGCAGACCTTCCCAAAGAATGAAGAATGTCAGAAATAGAAAATATGTAGATAAACACAAAACATTTCCTTATTTTCTAATTTTTAAAAATAGATTTTATAAAGCTAAAGTTAAAAGTAACAATGCAGACACATTGACCCACAATGCCTGCCACATCCTCAAACCCACGACTCTGACTCACAGCTGACCTACGCAGGGGTTCTGAGACGGTGAACCTTGTTGGAACAGACAGCGTCGTCTCTCTCCCATGGCACAACTAGGTATGAGTTTGAAACACAGACCTTGTGGTTAGTGGCCCAAACCCTAATTGAGGGAGTTTAATAAATTGACTCAATAAATGAAAGCATAAGAGGGTATCCTTTGGCTCCCCAAAAAATCAGTTATTTTCTACATTTTATTTATTCACATTGGATAAGACAATACTCTAATATTTGGGAGTGCACCTACATGTATTTATATTGTTTATAAAATACTGCTTGCTTCACGAACTTTAAATGTGAAAAACTAAAGGGAAAATAACTTGTTTCTCTGCACATATGTAATTTCCCATTCCCTCTGCATTTTCCAGAGTAGAAGCAAAACTCGGCACTTCTTGCACCACCTGGGGGTGGGAGGAGGGGGCAGGAATGCCATTTTGAGGATATGAGAAATCAGAATGATTATGTTAGTCATCCTGGTAACTACTTTTTTATATCAAACTCAACCTTTTAAAATCTCTGAACATGACTTAGCTTCCAAAACACTATTCCATGCAAGAAGAAGAATCTAGAACCTCAGTGTATTCATTAAAGAACAATGGCAGCAGATGCGAGCAGCAGCAGTCTTACAGCACAGCCATAAAAACGTCTTCAAAAAGGCGGTCATTCAAGCAAATTTCCCAATAGAAAGTGTACTATCTTTCCATTAAGATGGAACAGCAATCTCGCTTGTGGCACAAGCAGAGGAGTTAAGCCATGATTGCAGCGTGTAGGTGCTGAAAATGGAAATCATTGTCCCTTCTCCTTTCAGGTTTTACATCTGTGGCTTGGAGAGTTGGGTCGCCCACTGATGAGAATGAGCTCCTGCTGCTTTTCGTTCTCTCTGGGTAAAAAAGGAAGGTAAAAAATTGTGAAATTGAACTGTTTCTGGGGAAAGAATGCTGCAAGTAAAATATTCAGCAATTGGACTTCAAAACATGAAAACCCCAAAACGCAGGGTTAGTCACAGCCATATCTCTCTTCTTTTTGTTGTCCTTTTCATAAGAAGGGCAATTATTTCCATTAGAGTCATTGCCATGAAGGAAGTTTATAAGTGGCAAGTTTCTAACCACCAGGTGTGGGCAACAGAAATGAATCTATATCATTTCGTCAGGTCGGGGCCATGGATAAGAGGAGCTGCATACGACATAAATATTGTGTGACCCAACATTCATTCTTTCAGAATGGAAAAAAGTATGCAGTAACAAAGAAACACTGCCTATTAAAAAAGATAAATTGTGTGCAAGATCACATTCCAATAAAAAAAAGACTAGAAAGCTTTAAAATCTCTTAATTGAAAAAAATATTGTTTTAACATGCTGTGGTGTCAATTCCAACTCATAGTGAGCCTATAGGACAGTCTACTATGCCTTCTCCATCCCTGAAATGTCAGTGTGTGGTCCTGTGATGCCGGAAACGATGCCACTGATGTTTCTGACACCAGCAGGGCCACCCAAGTTGAACCGGTGGGAGATGGCATCAAGACCATCATACATGAAGAAAGAAAAGGGGCACTGAAAAGATAGGAAATGCGAAAAGGCCAACATAGATGTCAGTTGTGACTGTAAAGCCTGCTCTTGAACAGAGTCGGGACCGCTGATGGAAGAAATTATGAAGTCAAAGACTTGAACAGAAAATTTCAGAAAGCAGCTCAAAAAGACAAAGCAAAGTAGTATAAATCGTGCAAAGACCTGGAGTTAGTAAGTCAAAAAGAAAGAACACAAACATTCAAGTCGCAGTTGAGGCACAGAAAATTCTCTGGGGAAAACATTTACCGGTTCAGGAAACATCAAAAGAAGATGGAAGGGATTCAGAGGTGCTCCATATGTCCACTTTCACAAGCTGTGGAGAACGTTGCCAAGAAAGAATTCTACAACCCTTCATTGTACTCGTGTGGAAATGGGCCGTACAAGGACTCAGAGACAGCCATTTGA